TCAAAACATGACCGGGACACCAGCATCACATGACCCGGACGCCATCAAAACATGACCGGGACACCATCCGCCCACCAGCTCTGACGGTGACCCGACGGCGCCCGTCCGCCTATTAGTTTTGCAAGATTTGATAGCATGGCTATTGGGGAACAAAGGAAAGGGAGTAGAGGGGGCAGTGAAGGGAGAACACCACAAGAACAGTTCTATCGTCTGAAAAAGGGGCGTGTAGTTTCGGACATTTCAAGGCCAGCATCCTTAAATTTGAATGGATGAAATCGAAGGAAATGAGGGATTATCCGACATCCCCCCAGATCTCCCCCATCCCTCCGTACGAGTCACGTGGTCGTCACAAATCCACCCTTCAGGAGGTTGGCAATCTCGGTCTCTGAGAGACCTCACACCGGTGAGATGTCTCGGATCCACCGTTGAGACCTCACGACATCCATCTAAGTCGGACCTCCTGGCAGGATCCAATGACCAAGGAGCATAATCCCATCCAACGACCGCTTCTCAGGATTGCAAGTCAATGGCATGTCCTACCTTCTTGAAGTCGAGGGCGTGTGTTCCGTATAGGTGTTGTAATGTGTTGTATAGGGCGTGTATTGTATGACGAAAATGTATGAAGCGCTGAACATTTTCCTGCGTGCAACGGAAGCGACTTTCGGCGAATCGTGAGTCCTTGGGTCACGACCGGTGATTTCAGCCTGCTGGGCCACCGGGATTTTCTTGTCCTCAGAGGCTAGCGAGCATGTGCGAGAATTGTCCGTGGACAAGGAGCAGTGCCAACAGTCGTGCTTGTAAAGTGGTAGGCCGTGAAGCCGGGGGCTGGCTAAATATGAGCAATTCTAAAGTGAAGCTGCTATCTGCAAGGACGCAGTACAGCCCCGAGAGAAGCTGACCGCATGGTGATCAAAACGTATGCCAGGATACCGAGTGTTGCGGTATGTGCCATGATAGCTTCTGTTGAGCAGGAGATTTTTGAACAAGTCCATATCAAAGATCTGGAATGGTGCAAGCAAAGGCTCCGTCAAGCCCTTCAACACGCGCTTGTAGATAAACTGACCTGTGTAGCCGTCTTCCTTTCTGGCGTAGGAAGACTCAAACTCTTTGATCTGGCGGCCCGAGTGAGTGAGCATCGGTTCCCCAAGTTGCAACAATTGGATCGGGTAGAGTTCAATGCCCACGATTGAAATGGGTCAAAGACTCCTTTCGAGGACATCCCAGAATCCCAGCATAATATGTATATATGCAATATATATATATGTGTATATATATATATTGAAATCCAGAAATTGCATGAAATGCGCTCTGAACAGGTAGAAAACATGAAAAAAGGCTGCCACCTTCTTCTGCCTTCAGGTTAGCCTCTGAGCAGTATCTTCTCACAATCCCCAGGCAGTACAGAAATTTCCATTTGACGCAAAGTGTTTGCACTGGGAACTGCCTTTCCCAGACATCAGCTCCACTGTGGATTGAATCGGCACTAACTCCCAACTGGCCTCATCACCTGCCATGGGAATCTGGCATTTCACGGTGAAGCCCGCCTGACAGAAGGCCAGCTGGAGGCCAACACACTGGCCTCCCAACATTCAGTCCTCGATCTGGAAAAAGAGTGATGGGTTGGTGTTTCAGGGATCGAAACTAGAGGGTCGATGCACCTAGCCTTGCCACTGATTTCTACTGTCGAAAATTTACCGGACCATTGTGGTGTACCTGGCAATCTGTGCGCCGCTAAGTCTGCTACCACTTGCCAAGTCAGCATGGCAAAGTTTGACATTCCACTTGCCTAAGCATGCCACCAGCCCATCCCAACCACTGCTCTCCTGGAGAAAGTTCGACTTTCCGATCACTTTGTCAATTAGCACCTGAGATAAAGAAGCCACCAGAGATCGGCAAAGGAAATGAAACCAGTGAGGCTCAGGGAGCTGAAATAAAGTCCATCTGGAAGATCTTTTTGAAGTAATTTGCTCGGTTGGTGATTGTGAAACATAAGTCATACGAATGATTCTGTCTACCTGACATGAAAGAAGTTACGCGTCTCAAATCCAATCCACATCGGCCAACACACATGAAAACACGCTGCCGAGCTGCAGAGAGCACCACTGGGAAGCTACCGATGTCCGCCTTCAGCGTCTTCAGCGATTTCATCGTGGCCACTGAAGCTGGCGCCAGCTCCTTCCACTCGAAGGCTAGCTTGATCTTAGTGCAGCAAGCCAACCACATGAGGAATAAGTTACCACCCTGGCACGATCTCCGGATTCTGCAGACTCTGCAATGAAGATTCAGGGTCTGAGAAACCAACAAAAATTACGCACTTCCCGTCAGTCACTCCACTTGTTCATGTGTTTCCTTGTGTGCAGGCGTTTCTGTTGTCCACACGTCTGCGTCTGCATCAATCCGTCCGCGTCTGTTGACACCGACAAAAACATGTTTGTAATGTAATATAATTACTATTATATATGTATATACTTATTGTCAAAAGAAAATGTATGTGTATATATATATATGGTAACCTCCCCAAGACCTACCTTTTTGCACTTTTCAGTGGTATTTGCAATGAATTCTGCACATTTTGAGGAACAAAATGAGGTCATTCCTTTTGTAGAGGGATTGCGGGGGTGCCACACGTATATATATATATACACATATTGCATACACACATATCGAAGCCCAAAAGGTGTGCAAGCACATCCCCAAAATTTGCACATGTTGTTTCTGGATTCAAGATTCAAGATTGTGGGAAAAGTTCTTGAATCCAAGCCTTTGAATGTTGGGTTTCTAGATGTTAGTCAGAGCTTGGGTTCAAGAATGTTTCCCCAGAATCTTGAATCTTGAATCCTAAAAACCTTGCAAAGTTTGCACAGTTTCCTGAAACCATATAACCAAAATATATATATATATATATGATGAAATATGTGCGTTTTCTTAAAACCGTGTCGTTTACAGAAATCGTTGACACATATGTTCGTATGCAACTGACATCAGTTGTTCAAAGTGTAACATTGCCTTTCTGAATAACACCTGTACAAATGTATCATGTATCTAATGAAATCAGGAAACTAGAAAATAATATATAAATATGCATATGAGAAAAAAAGAAAGGCTAATCTGCAGAGAATACTGCTGAAAAAATAATTATAGGGAGTGGCTGTGGACGGCAATCACACGAGCTAGGGATTAAGTACAGTAAAGTTTCCTGTAATACAGTGATGATACTGAACATGAATTTAATCAACAATGTATGACAAGCTATTTAATAGGCGGGTGAACAAAATAAAATTCAGGATAGAAAGGGTAAAAGAGAATACCTAAGGAAGGTCTTAATGTCCAATGGTTTCTGACAATATAACCGAACAATGTAATTACTGTGGATGTGGATTTGCAATAAATATTCAAAAAAGTATAATGTATCAAGTGCATTGCTTACTGTCATAGATGTGATAGCAATTGTAAATGAATAGTTTTTGAGTAAAAACCATGCGTGTTGTATATTAAAAAAAGATAGCGGGAATATATAGTAGGTAATGGATACAACTAAACTGTATTGCAAAGGATGTCAGAATAGCAGAACATTAGCGAGATTTACTGAAGGATTTAAAACCTGCAACACTTGTAGAGCCAAACAATCAAGAAGATATTACAATAACTGGTCTTCACCCACACCCGTACACTGTCTTACAATATGCCTTGCAAGCCCAAAAGGTAGTTGTTTTTTGCGGGGGGTAACATATATATATATATACATACACACTTGTTTAAAGAACTTGTCAAGATTCTCACGGGCCCTTGAAATGGGTTGGGGAAGGTGTGAATACTACAATTGTGGGTCAAAGAAAGAAATGATGATAGCTTTTTGGAAAACCTGCAAAAAATTATACTTTGCATCAAGTCTTAGGGTGAACCATGGGATCTCGAGCCATCGGAGCACGTCAGCATCAATTGGTGCGGCGCGGTGCGGCGCGGTGCGGGGGCTTGTTGAAGCGAAAGGATACCCAAGGGTCAGACCTCATTACAGTTGAGGATTGATTGAGGACCACATCATATCACCTTGTTGCGGGGTACCTGGGAACATTATTTTGACTGAGGGCAGTCTGTATTGGATTGGAAAGGGGTCTGTTGCCAATTGCAGTTGTAAGTATGCAAATGTGCTTCCCTTTCCCACCAATTTGCTTGTTCATCGGAAATTCCTCAACACATGCGCCAAAATTAGTGCAAGTACAAGTGGCTTCCTCCAAAGTGTGGGTTGTTTTCCTTTTTGTGGAGTTGGGTTCGATATCTGTGAATATTGTATATTTTTACATATGTTTATATACAGTACACGTTCTTACGGTACCTCTATCTTCCTGTGTCGTCATATATGTCTAGGCCTGTTGCCCTTCCGAGTGGCACGAGAATCCTCAAGTCGCGTGCCATCTTTCTTGTAAAGATGATAGTCCTGCAGAAGTCTGTCTGGAAAGAGGTGGAAGGAGGGAGCTTGCCGGATTTCTATTCAGCCTTCTCTTTTCCACCTTCCCTCTCGACGCCGTGTCAAACCATTCCTAGCTTCAAAGGATTTCCCGACTGTAGGTGACCTCTGAAGCCTCTCAAGGCCGTGGATGACTTGGAGGTTTTCGATGTTTGTTGCCGTGATCAGCGTCGCCCAACAAAACCAGAGATGTTGGTCGGACACGTCACCTGTCAAATTGGTCCTGTGCCGCAGTGTCTTGGATGATGTCATAGATATAGCAATCCTTGAGGCCACCAATGGCATCCTAAGTCTGTGCAAAGACAAGAATGAACTAGAGGTATCTAAAACGGTCTAAAGATACAGTATGTGCATATTTAAAAAAATATAAACACTGCAATCGCCATCGCGGTGAGATACACCTATGCACAAAGCTGCCAAAAGTCGCTTCTGTCTTCTGGGCGACCCGGCATTGGGAGTCCAGAAGTCGCTGTCTGTAATGAAGCAGTGGACTTTTTGGAAGAGCGTGTACACCCTGCAGGACTCGCAAGCAGAAAAGAAGGGCAATGCAATTCTTCTGAAGAATCAGCACAAACGCCGCACTTTGATTAGAGCCTGAGATCTGCTCTTGCAATGTCTTAAAAGAATGAGGTGACATGAATTAGTTTGAGCAAATTTGGGCCCCTCCTTTTCTTCGAGCAGGATGCCATGGGAAGCCGACTAGAAACAAATGTCCAGTTTTCAGACTCTGCACCCGCATTCCCTTGCATCCGAGTTGCGGGAAGGCCATCGTCTCTTCATTCCAAACAGGATTGGCTGCGTCCTCAACCACCTGAACGATTCCCTCGCCAAGCATTCAATCAAATTCTTCTGGCCAAGGTTGGAACTTTCTCCACCTTGCCCCACAAACAGCCTTGCTGATGGAAATACAACAAACCCTCACTAATGTCCGGAGGCTCTCCATGTAGGCAAAGCAGATTCTTCACCAAAGCCCCTCCTTCATGTCGCCCCTCCAACCTGCCTTGGTCTTGTAGGTCTTCCCCAGATAGCCGACCCTCACCTCAGCATCAGCGGCCCACAGGTCACGCCAGTCCAGCATCAGTCCACTGCATTGCCAGAGTGGGGTACTGAACCCGATAAGCTAAGAATCTAAAACTTGTATCCCTGTCGATCCAAACCCAGGTCCTTGCGTAGCACAGAGGTCTTTAAGTCTTTTGACTACTTTCAAGACATTTGGAACCTCATACTCACACCGCATACCATTCATACCTGCAGAAGTTGCAGAAACCAAAATCTTTTTTCAACCCGGTCAACCCCCTACCGATCTCAGAAAGCTATTCTGAGGCTGTGGCTTCCACAAAGGGGTCACTCTGTCCAGACATGTCCTGGCCATCTGCTGAATTGCACAAGTCAAAAGAGTCATCCAAATAGACAATAATTGTAAATTACAGCCCAATCAAGCACACACACACACACACACCTTGCGCACTGTCCGTGTCGCACCTCACTGCCCTTCCCCTATGGGGGGTACACGAGGAGAAGAATATACAGATGAACCTTTGTAACAATCATGCACGAGAACCACACATGAGGTTTGTGTGAATTAATCGACAAAGCTTGGCCAAGCTCATGAACAATTCCTAATTCAGAGATCAAGCGAAATTGTGGAGAGACTTTTCTTTGTGCGTAAGCATTTTCGAACTCGTTGGTAGAGATTGTGACGATCCGTGAAGGACAAGTCCGGAGGTCCGAGATCAGGAAGACCATTAGACTCGACACTAGGCTGAAAGGGCACCCTCACATTTAATGGATAGACCTGGCCAGGAAGCGATGAATATTCAGTCAGGAACTTCAGAGTGAGATCTCTCTGTGGTAACCGTGGGCGCTATGCAATTCCACCCGTTAGGCTACGATGGAATCCAAGACGAACCATAGTAGACGCACCTGTTTTCTTATAGCGAGGATAAAGGTGACATCCAGTGGAGCTCTCTAAATATTTAACGACCGCTCTAAAGTTATGGGCTTGGTGCCAAAGACTTCGGACTTCTGGCTTCAGAATTGCGACCTCTTCAGAATCGAATGGATAGGGCCAGGCTTGGTGCCCGGTCTTTTGCTTAACCCAGATGGGCAGGCATCGACCCGTATACATTGTAAAGTGTATGGTTAACTCATACCATGTTACCCCAAAATCATTCTTTTGTGGTGGGAGGTCTGGATGGCGCCATTCAAGTTGTTGAAAAAAACAACCATACACCACGTGCAATCTGGCCACCTGAAGGACAAGCATGAGCGATGACTGGTGGCAAGATTCCATCAAAAGTCCAAAAGGGACCATCAGGGACCCAATCCAGCAGAATTTGTTGAATCTGTGCGATGGCATCACACGAATTATGTTCATTTTCCTCATCCTGAGATTTTTCACGTTCAAGTGTTAATGTCATACGAAGAGAATTTAATTCACACAAATACGCAAAAATCTCCGCCAGAGCTTGCATCTGAACACAACTATGATGTGCAATATCATCACATGCCTCCTGCAAAAAGGGCATTTCCTGTTGATTAATGAGTTTTGCAGTGTCATCGGCCACTGTATTACCTAAGATCGTATACAACTGGTCTCTATTTCTGGCCTGAGACAATTCACAATGGGATTTCACCTTATGAATCTGGCAAAAAGATGGTTCCCAAGTTGCTTGCAAAATTTGAATCAAGTCAAAGTGCATGATATTATACCTAGACGCGTCGAAAGTTCCGCTGGCGATTGACTGGACAAGTCTTTCAACAAATTGTGAGTCTGTGTAAATATCCACCTCAGGTCTAGGTTGCTGCTGGGAATAAAATTGTGTGACCCATGCCACCGACGCAAGCTCGCTACGATTAATCGTCTGGACCCCTTGGACATGCGAAACTTGCAAGACCTCAAAATGGTTAAAAGAGGGATCTTCCCTATCTTGATGAATCTGTTTCACCGCGGCCCATGCAGCCCTACAACAATTTTGTAGCTTCGGCCTGTCACAAGTTCCATCAGTGAAGATCTTGACCCGGGTTTCAGCGGAGTCATGTCGTGGGGACAAGACTGGACCCATGCGATTGTGTCGTGTTAGATTATACACGTGTTGCTTAGCATGGATTGTCGGAAGTGGGGACCAGCATAAGTGCGTATGTGTGTGCAGGGTCTGAATTGCGGCTGCGTGGCGTTCCCTAACATGTTCGAAATTCGGACACTTCAGCAAACGGTGCTGATGCCTATCTGGTTGGTGACAGTACTGACATTCTGGGGTTTGAGTGCTATCCCAAATAGCCTTTGTGGCTGAGGTTTGGAAGCCCCCGGTGACGTTTAGTGACAAAATCTTCTGCTCTCTAGCTGTAAGCTTCGTGAAAACTTTCAGATGGGTATAGGCGTCGAAGGGCATGGCCGTGACCCCCTTCCGATGGCATATCTGCACATGGACATGCTGAGACCATGCCAGGCGACATATGTGTCTAATTTCACACGTGGGTTGAAGAGACAGATTCAGTTGGTGGCCACTAGGCATCGTAACTTTTCCTCCTTCGTCGGGAGTCCACTGGACTTTACGAAGATAATGCGCTAAGGCACTAGCGGGGCCTCTAGGTGTAGCCTGTGCCAAAACCTCATTCCACATCTCATCAGCTAACTGTGGATTGTAGTGATAAAGTCGTCGAATTGCGCATAAGCCTGATACGATGACATACAGCATTGGGTCCATGATCCTATCAGACAAATACTGCATGGCTACAAACGATGACGCAAATTTGTGTTTTCCTATCAGTGCATCGGATGCGGCGCGACGCAGCTGAGTGAAATGTGTCTCACCAATCACTTGACTCTCAGCTCCGTAAAAGGCCACAGGCCAAATGGCCGTTTGGATCTTGGATGCTTTATCCTGAATAGACAAATCCATCTTCTGCAAACGAAAGAGTCTCCGCTTGGCATACTGAATTCTGGATTTAAGGCATCCTAAGAAAGTGCGCCGGGAATATTGCATCATGCACCCCAGATCCTTGGAGGCTAACTTAACGTCAATATCTACGTCCCCCGCCGGGAAAAGAAGACTGGTGGATTTCCAGAATTTTCTCATCTCTTCATTTGTGCCCCAGCCCCATGACTTGCCAATATCTATCTTCATACGAATGGTGGTGGCAAAATTTAACGTTTGAATCAGGGCTTGGAAGAGAGCCCGCTTGTCTGGAGACATAAGAGTCCAGTTATCTGCGTAGGTGAATGGCTGCGCGCGAGCAATTGTCATCTTCCGAAAGAAAGTAGCAGCAATTACCAACATGGCGCATACAGACATCGCATCGCCCTCTGGGGCCCCTGTTGTAGAAGATTGTTTCGAGCTACACCGCCCACGCACTTGCAAAATGCGACTCATGTTATTGAGTGATCTTATCCAGAAACTTACCGCATCTGTGGGAGCACCCCAGGCTATTAAAAGGCGTTTAGCCACTTGACGGGGTATCAGATTAAAGGCTTTCACCAAGTCAAGTGTAAAACCCCCGTACGGTACATTTGTCTGGTGGGCTTTCTCGATTAGAAATTGTTGTTGCATTGTTATATCCTTAATTGCGCGAAAAGGCAAACCGCCTGCAATTTGTGGGCTCCATCGTTTCCCCCACGCCGCCAACAACTGATCTGCGATGAGTTTCGATGTGAGCCGAGGAACATACCCTAATATTGCGATAGGACGGCCGTCCGAAAAGGTCATAGGATTGGCGGTTTTGGCCAGAAGTATGGTTCTCGCCAGCATTTGATTTGGGGTCATATGGGAGTCCCATATCTGCGAAAAAATATCTGCGAGGTGTTGAATAGCTAACGAAGGCAGCAGCTTAAGTTCTTGGGCTCTCCAACCATCGATGCCTGGCGCCTTAAAAGACTTCATGCGCGCGACAAGAAACCACGATCGGTTCCTGTGGCTCAATATCATGTGTGATTTCCTGCAATACTTCCGACCAACATGCTTCATCCTGAGCTTCCTCTGGGGTATCTCGGAGCCACATCGGCGCCCAAAAATCGAAAAAATGCTCTGCCATTTTACTAACGTCCTGGGAATATTTTGCTTGCTCCAGAATTCCTTTGGTCGGCAATGGGCCTTCACTAGGGATAATATCCACAAAGCATCGATCTTGGGCCTTAATGCTTACTGGAACATGTCCAAACACGGCACTCCCCGGCGCGAAGCAAGCATCAGAATCTATCAGGATGCGTACACGACCCTTGGACAGTCGAAGTAACCTTGCACCGGCCCTAGTAGGACAAGGCATGCCTGTAATCATTTTATGTTCTGGATCTCTGAGGGCCTTAAATGTCATCGCCCCATTACTGTCTTTCTTATCTTGTTGGATGAGATGTTTGTATGCATGACGTCTATTGCGTTCTTCTTGACGAATAGCAAGGTCTGCGTCATAACGCGTGATTTGGGCCATAACACTAAGGAGTGGAATATCAGGAACTTCACATGGAAGAAAAGGAATACACTCGAAACCTAAAATCCAGTGACCCCACATCATTCCATATCCCTGAGCTTTTTGGATTGCGCTCCATTCAGAACTTAATTGTACTTGTATGTTTTGTGGGATCAACACCCATTGGTCATAACGCAACTTGTATTTGTTCAATTGCCTGAGTAACGACGCAATGCGCCGTGTTTGTCGAACCTTCTGACAACTGCGTAGAGCCGTCGGTTCACCATTCGGATTGAAAAGGTTCGTACAATCTTTCTTCACAGACCTTGAAGGTGTTGGTTTCAAAAATTTGGGAGGTGCACACCGACCCCGAAATTTCTTAGGCAGACTTGGTGTCGGGAATCGTAGAGGATCTCTTTGGCGCGTGACTACCAGTGTAGAATTGAGTGCATCCTCAATTACCTGCGACCACATGAACATCTTTTCCTCAGCGTTAGAGGTGGACTGGATATGTACCTGCAGAAATTTGCGGGATGCATGACGTTCATATTGTTCTGCAAAAACCATTTTGTCTATGTCGAGAATGGACCAGTCCGCCGGCACAAAAAGTGTTGGTGGAAGTGCATTCATCTGGTCAATGCTAAACCGAATATAGATCGGAGAATGATCAGCAAATAAATGTTCAGGTCCTACCCACATCGTAGCAATGTTGTTGAGTAGAAGTGGGTGGATTATGAACGAATCAAACTTTGTTGCATTGCGGCATGTTGGAGGGAGTGTTTTCCCTAATCGTTTGGTAGCACAGTCAAATCCTTCCTCGCAGCCAAGGTGTGCAAAAGCTGTCCATGACGTCAAGGTCCTGATATCTTGGTTAAAATCTGCTGCGATGAGGAAAGGCATACTGGTTTTTGCTACATAATCATAAAGGTGAGACAATAGTATATCATTACGTGATTGCGCA